CACATTTGGCTAAGGAAATTGACTCTAGAGAGCGATGTACTGAAGTCGCTAACGGTAAGTGATGTTTCATGATATATACGAAAACAACTTCAATCAAGCATCACATGAAACTTTATAGACATAATTTAGATACATATACAATGGTTTCAACCAGTTATAATAGAAAGTGTACACAAAAATGTGAAAATGGAAGTATGCCCATTCAATGCAAGACAATTCTAAATATCATAAACAATTTTCACTACATATGATTTATGTGTCTGGTAGGTTATAGAAACACAGATTAGTTGCATTGTGTAAATTCCATTGGGCACCATGTATGCAGGTTTTCATTCTGAAAGAAAATTTAAGTTCAGACATGTCACTTAAAATGTGATAACTCAGATAAAACTTAATGCAATATAAGTTGTGTTTTATACTAAAGTTTCAAACCAATCTGTATCTTTTATTATATCATCCGCTTTAGATTCGATACTGCACAAGCTTTTATCTTCACACAATTATCAAAAATTATATTTAATTAAATTAATATAAAATTGCGTCCATTTATTTAAATGCCGTGCCATCTCTCTCTCAGTATATATATATATATATATATATATATATATATATATATATCTATATATATATATATATATATATATATATATATATATATATATATATATATCTATATCTATCTATATATCTATATCTATATATATATATCTATATCTATATATCTGTATCTATATATCTATATCTATATATATATATATATATATTTATTTGTGTGTTTGGTTATGTGTGTGTGTTTGTGTATTCTTTTGCGAACAGATCTCTAAACAATATTAACACAGTTGATGGTTAGATTATAATAAAGTTATAATCGAGCAGATGTTTGCTGCAATAATTTATTAGCACAACGTTGGCCAGCGATTTCTCTTTTCTTCCTCTCTGTCAAGACAAGAGAAACAAATAAATAATTACAATAGTAAGTTGTAATAAGTTCTCTAACTTTTTTCATCTCACACAACACGACTCGTACGATCAAATACCCTCTCTGTTTGACATCGTTATTGAAACAGTGGTATGTTGTCGAATTCTTTAAAATTTAAAATGATTCGCTGGTACATTACCAAAGATGTTCTAGATTATAATAGTACCTTATTATAGTAGCCAGTTTCTGGACTCATTCAGATTAGGTCTCTTGATTTTGTACTGAAAAGATTTAAATTTTGCATGAAAAAATATCCACTGGAAAAATTTTGATAAACTAGTTTATGTAATTCCAGTAACAAAACAAAGCACCACGTAACTTTCAAATACTCAACAATATTTTAGATTATAAATAAGTTATTTAAATAAATGTAAATGCAATTAATACTTATTAAATTACTCAATTCCTTACATAATTAGAGAAATATGTCATCATATCAAATAGTAACTACATAAATGCCGACAATGACGGATATCTCACGTTTCCGAGGCATTTGTTTCATCTGCGTCCAATTTAGATCACTTTTGTAATATGCTTTAATATATTTGTACGTATGCCTGAGGGAGAGAACATAAAAGTTTCATAGAAAAAAAAAATAATATAGCTGCTATAAACAGTATACTGAGACACTGTTTCAACCTATGTGTAATTTTGAGATGAGAATACCTAATATTTACATTTGCATGAGTTTTCGCTTGTGATTCATATTAAGTACAAGTTTTGATAACTGATTAAGTTATGTCAACTTATTTTACTTACAGGATTTTCCGTGTCAATATAGTCGTAAACTGAGCGACGAGAAGTCTTTTCGGATTGCATATATTCAAGGTCTATGCCTCCCTTTGACTGGAGACTGCTTAAATTCTTTGGCTGATAGATTAACGCCTGCATTAAAGAGCAAATTATTGTGTATTGCTAGATGGCAGTTCACACAATTATAAAAGAGGACAACTGGTATATTTTGCAGCAAACGGAATTAATTTAAGTTTGATATTGAGAGATTACATACATAACTGATATTACATGTTTATACATAACGCAATATGTGTTAAATTCTTTACATATTTTGGATTATGAAAACTACTCTTTTTGTATATCTATAAACATTAATATATCAGACCTTTTCGTTTAAAACAAACTAAAATGTATGTAACATCTATAGACCGAAGTTTAGTTTGTATGACGCTACTGTCTATGCTTGATGTATTTAATATTTTATATAATATCATGAAAACTGTGCTATGGTCATATTGTGTTTTGGTTTTTCTTCTTCAGAAACGGCAGCGTAATTACAGACTTCAATATTGGGCTTTTTGCGGCTGAAAGAAAAGATCTATTCACCTCACTAACCTTTATAAACACTACAGTGAAAGAAAACCTAAATAACATGACTATTGTGATTGATTCTCATAATGTAAACATAAATATAGCGACGATGTCATCTCAACTAGAACAAGGTAAGACCCATAATTTAGAATTAAATTCTCGCTTGGGCTTTTTTCATTCTTTTTTTAATAATTTTAATATTTTACATCCTATTTCTAGGAATAATAACCAATAATAATCCACGAAATCAGGTTTGTGTATTTTACATGTATGCAAAGATGTAACACAAGCTTTAGTACGATTTTGCGGAACATCAGGTCACTAATGTTCAAACGTATAAATGATCTCGTCATGGGATACCACATATAACTGGACATATTTCATTCAAGTTACAAAAGGAAATGAAGAAAATAGTAAAATATTGCAATTATGAGTGAATGGAGCCCAGCATAAGGTCTTAACATCACAAAAAAACTTATTTTAACGTGTCGGAAACAAAATGCAAATTAAAAATGTATTAAAATAATCAACAAATTCCTCGCTTTGCCGCATAAGAGAAACCTAATGCTGTCGCGATCATTAGTTATTACAAGAAACATCTGCATATTAACACTATTTAATCAGGTCATTAATTTTTCTGTTGAAACGAGTCTCGTATAGAAGTAGGAATAAAGTAATCACATGAATTAACTTAAATTTGGTAGATGTTTTCCGATAGCGATAGCTTATAATATTACATCCCGGAACCACTATTAAATCCAAGTATGATACTTATTTGCTGCAGATACTTTCATGTGTTACAGTGATTCATATCTGTTGTTTTAATACACGAAACAATATTCCCAAGGCATTATCCCTCCTATCAGATATTTTAAATAAGGGTATATACCTTATTCGTAAGGATCATTTAGTCAGAACCAGAACATATGTATTCATAAGAAACACATACTGTGAATCGTTATATCATATTGATACGAATAGTATAATATAAAATACATGCATTAATGACTACATATGTAAAACAAATTTCAGTACAATGAACGATTGAGGTTTAATTCCGGCATAATTGGTGTGTTCTCGATAATATAAAATCTGTTTATCAAACCAAGTCAGAACGGCGCAATTCTACACGTTCCTTATAAAATGTATGCTTTAAATATATTATTACCTTATGCCGGAATGTCTCTGAATAGCTTTTATATTTTTCGCTGCTTTTGATTTCCAGTTCTCTGGAGAACTTAACATCGATTTTAACGGAAAATGGAAATTCGACTTTCGCGGACTCTGTAAGAAAACAAAAGAGACATAAACCAAATGAAATGCTATAATATGTTGTTTTCCTACCGAGGTATGTACAAAATATATTTATCTATGTAACTTACGATTGTTCGATGAAACTTTAAATTAATCATATCATTAACCTGGTAAAAATACGAGTGAGTACGCAAGACATTTAATAAATTCATACTCATGTTGTGACCCCAAATTCTAAACGTATAGGACACGATCAGCAGAGGAATGTTTGATACTCACAACATTTCTCACAGATATATTTTTGTTTTCTTTTTTGCCATGAGAGAACAAAAGATAACTGTTTATTTAGAACCGATAAATAAGCAGAAAATCAAGAGACCGAACCTAGTGGCGCGTTGTCGGGTGAGAATACAGTGGACAGAACGGGAAGTATGGAATCGTCCTTATTACAATTATTGCAATATGGATGCGAAAAAAGAAAATATAAGCTACGTAAAGAGCCATCTAACTACCAGATTCATTGGCACCCACAGAGGAAAAAGAGGCGAACATATTAAAGCAACAACGCGACATTTAGATACGTGATAACCTTAAATTTACATGTACAATAAAGTACGGAAATGTTCTCGAATTTTGAAAGCAAAAGGTATTCACATGATCTTTCTTAATCCGATGGTCATATTCAAAACTGTAGCGGTGGTAAAAGAAGAATGATAAGTGTGGGATCATTTTATATTATGTCAAATATGCGTTGACTAGATATGGGTTTATAAAAGAAACGCAGATAGTGTTGGTTTAATGACACCAATCACAAAACCTGATGTATACATCGCAAACCTGATGAGGGCAACATGTTATACTATATTATCATTACAACGTGAGCATGGTGAAATTGCTATTGTTATAGGATTTTACCCCATTTTTCAGCACAAGATAGGCTATACATGGTGGCCAGTATTAAGGGTGGAGGAAGAACCCGGACCCCCCCAGAAAAAAACACCGAAGAAACCGGCAAGCTTTCTACCATACCCACATTGGCCAAGCCCGAGATTATATCCAAGGGAGACTGAGGTGAAATGGCAGTGATCCGTAACGGTGAGCTCTTGAGAACATGCGGCCACTCGGAGCCTCATATGGTGAAGTACATTGTGACATGCAATGAATTCTTAATGTTGTTAAAACTATGGCCAAATGTGTAATTCTTGGCTTATAAGAGTATTAATAGTCGTAAAATAAAATTGTGGGGGGTAACTAAAGACGAATCTTTTTTATGTGCTGGATTTAACAATTTGACCAGGTGGACAGCTATTTTAATCACAAGTTCTGCAAAGTCTCGTGTCTGATCCATCAGTCTGATTTCGAGGTGAGATATTTCCTATTTATCAACAACGCATGATGAAGGATAATAATTTCCACATATTTCACATTTCACAAATACACCGCTTCGGTGACCTAGTGGTTAGAACGTCCGCCTCAGATGTGGGAGGTCGAGGGTTCGAAACCCGGCCGAATCATAGCAAAAACTTACAAAAATGGCACTATCAGCTGCCTCGCTTGGCACTCAGCATTAAAAGGTTAGAGTTAGGACTGGAGAGCGTGGTGTCAGGATAATGTGACTGGGTGGGGCATCATGCCACATGTCTGCGGCATAATTCTCCAGTGCTAGACATCACTATAAACTACCACACTGCAGACATCGTAGCTATATGACTGACAAACAGTTAAAGGTACGTTAAAAATCATAATCACATCCACTCATAGTTAATATTAATTTAGCTTCAAACGCCTAACATATCTGTCGAAAAATTACATATTTTACCAAAGATTTTGCACATTGAAAACTGACTTTAACTGCAATGAAGTTTCAAAATATATCAGCATAACAGTAATTTAAACTGCTGAGAAAGGTGATGATAAACAGAGGATACGACTATTAAGTCTTTAAATAAGTAACAGAAAGAGTAAAATAAATATTTTATACAACAAAACTTATAATTCACTTATCTAAGGTATAATATGAAAATATGATGAAATAACTATCAATAAAATCCGAATTAATAATGCACAGTTCCAAAAGAAAATACTGCATCGAATGACGATCGAGTCGTTCAATCTGCAAATGTACCAGCAGTATTGATTTATCACGATGACTTTGGCATGCACTCCTTTTCATAACTTCACAATAATCGCAATATAATGTATTAGTCTATTAACTGATATCACCACTTTGTGAATTCAACGAACAATGAAAAAAAAAAAACTGTTCTATATCAAAAAGCACAAAATTAAACTGACACCGTTACATCATTACATCGTAATGTGATCAAATTACTACCAAAGAGACGTACGTCAGAATTTTTACGCTTTGTTATATTTGAAAGTATGCAAAATACCAATTACCTCTTCAAAATGTGTTTAGAAAGGCATTATGTTTCAGAGAAAAATACAGTACTATTTTTTTTATTTCTTTGGATCTTTTTTTGATTAGGGTCAAAACATATATATAATTATTAAAGCTTGTAAGAATTTACAAGGACGCAACGAAGTAATCCGCTGACCGAGAAGAAAAAATGATAATGCGTTGAATTGTCATTACTGAAGATTTTATTAATGGTTTAGTGTGCATCTGAGTTAGGGGAGTTATCTGAAGGAATCAGAAGAATATAGCATTTCAGTTGTGTTTCAGATCAATCATCATTGATAGTTAAACAGAATTTCTTGCGTTGATTAAGAAAGCAGAGCCATCTTTGAATGTAACACTTGTTTGTTTGAAAAGACATATTTGTTGCTGTAACTGTAAGGAAATGCAAAAAATAAAAATAATACCCTATATAAGATGGATTGTGTTTCTCTTTATGCAATACTTTTTTTTTTTTTATTTTTTTTTTTTTTTTTTTTTTTTTTTTTTTTTTTTTTTTTTTTTTTTTTTTTTTTTTTTTTTTTTTTTTTTTTTTTTTTTTTTTTTTTTTTTTTTTTTTTTTTTTTTTTTTTTTTTTTTTTTTTTTTTTTTTTTTTTTGTTTTTTTTTTTTTTTTTTTTTTTTTTTTTTTTTTTTTTTTTTTTTTTTTTTTTTTTTTTTTTTTTTTTTTTTTTTTTTTTTTTTTTTTTTTTTTTTTTTTTTTTTTTTTTTTTTTTTTTTTTTTTTTTTGTTTTTTTTTTTTTTTTTTTTTTTTTTTTTTTTTTTTTTTTTTTTTTTTTTTTTTTTTTTTTTTTTTTTTTTTTTTTTTTTTTTTTTTTTTTTTTTTTTTTTTTTTTTTTTTTTTTTTTTTTTTTTTTTTTTTTTTTTTTTTTTTTTTTTTTTTTTTTTTTTTTTTTTTTTTTTTTTTTTTTTTTTTTTTTTTTTTTTTTTTTTTTTTTTTTTTTTTTTTTTTTTTTTTTTTTTTTTTTTTTTTTTTTTTTTTTTTTTTTTTTTTTTTTTTTTTTTTTTTTTTTTTTTTTTTTTTTTTTTTTTTTTTTTTTTTTTTTTTTTTTTTTTTTTTTTTTTTTTTTTTTTTTTTTTTTTTTTTTTTTTTTTTTTTTTTTTTTTTTTTTTTTTTTTTTTTTTTTTTTTTTTTTTTTTTTTTTTTTTTTTTTTTTTTTTTTTTTTTTTTTTTTTTTTTTTTTTTTTTTTTTTTTTTTTTTTTTTTTTTTTTTTTTTTTTTTTTTTTTTTTTTTTTTTTTTTTTTTTTTTTTTTTTTTTTTTTTTTTTTTTTTTTTTTTTTTTTTTTTTTTTTTTTTTTTTTTTTTTTTTTTTTTTTTTTTTTTTTTTTTTTTTTTTTTTTTTTTTTTTTTTTTTTTATTTTTTTTTTTTTTTTTTTTTTTTTTTTTTTTTTTTTTTTTTTTTTTTTTTTTTTTTTTTTTTTTTTTTTTTTTTTTTTTAGAGTCCAGTAAAAGTAGTAATAAAATGAGAATTGACTGAGAGGACCTGGATATATATTTGACCTCATACTTGTAGCATGAATACTTCTCAGTAAAATATAACAAATGGTATTAGTATTACTATAATCTCCAATTCATAGGAGATTATTTAACACTGAAAGTAATAAAATCACATATTCCCCATTCATTTAATCAATTCTACCTGTTTAAAACTACGCTGTTATATTTGAAAGCATCATACAAACTTCAAAATGGATAAGGCTTTGTTTCAGATTAAAATAAGTACTATTTTTTATTTTTGGATCTTTTTTATTAGGTCAAACATAATATAAATTAAAGCTGAGAATTACAAGGACGCAACGAAAGTAACGTTAAAAAGAAAAATATCATCGTTAATTTAATTTACTAAGATATTTATTAATTTTAAAAGTTGCACTGATAGGATTAACTGAAGAATCAAAATATAGCATTCAGTTGTTTAAATCAAAATGTATATAAACAGAATTACTATGCTTAATTAAGAACAGAATTAATTAAATATTTTATAAAAAACAATATTTTGTTATGAAATGTAAGAAATCAAAAAATAAAATAATCCCATAAAAGAAATTGGTCTATGCATACTTTTGCATGTCAATTTATTTTTACGAGACTTTAGCATGAATTAAATTAAAAATTATATATCATAAGTTCATTATATAAAAAATGTTCTATAAAGAAAGCAAATCATTATGAAGTAAATATAAGAAGCTATTTGACCATTAAGTAATTTTGAAATACATATACAAAAATATAATAGATTAATTATTTAATATTTTATTTTATTAATTAAAATTTTATAATTGAGATAAAAAGTCTTAGTAATTAAATTTAAAAATTATTTGTCAAAATCTATAAAGTTTAAATGTTATAAAACCATGTTTTCATTAATTTGAAGGTAAAAACGTGGAGTAATGTAGAATAAGTTTTTATTAAACTTATGAGATAATTGGTAGATATAATGATCAATGTTGCAATTTAAATTTTAATGATATTAAAGAATGAATTTTATAATGATATATTCTTAAATTATTTTTAATAATATTTTTTATGAAACAATCCTTTAATTAAAAGAATTTTAAAAATATTTAATAAGTAAGGATAACTTGTTATTAATATTAAGATCAGAAATTAGTTCAATAATATTCTAAGAGAATGTAGAAATGAGTTTTCAGAACGATTAAATGACAATATTTATAATGATGTATTTGATTTTCAAGTGAACAGAAAATAGACAGTAATTGTTCAAATTATTCAACGATTTTTTATTAATATGAAAGATCAACTTATCTTCCAAATCATGTTTCCCAAGATTCGACTTCTTTTGAAAGGTTAAATTTATCAAATAATGTTTGACATAATTGCCTTCTTCGGGCAGATAAATAACGTAAATATTTGAACCAACCTGAATTCACAATTTTTATAATGACACAGAAAACATGTCATACAGGAACCATCACCAGTTAAGACTAGAATTAAAATTATAATTAACTATGGTATGATTGAAATTATTTTACTTTTAGAATATTTCAAAAGAAACGTTTTTTAGAACAATTTATTTGTATCTTACATGTAATTTCATTAAGCGTGACCTTGAGTCAAATGATAATTTTACCTACAGATTATTATATTACCTTAAGTGTGCATTGTTGAACTGAAAAATAAATTGTAAACAATTAAATAGAAAAAGTTATATTTTCCAATGCTTAATATAAGTATTCGATTAACTTAACTGTCAAGTTTTACGATTCTATACAAAACGTATTTTCGATTAAATTATGTTTTTTAGATTATAAAGTTAATAAAATGAAATTGACTAAAGACTGATATATTCTTACTAACTTATACATTATTCTCGAAGATGATATAATGGTAAATATTTTGATATACCAATTCTAGGAGATTAGTAAAATTAAATGTACAATTAATACCAGACCATTATGTGTTCGTCAATTACATTTTAATACTTTTACCATGTTATATTGAAGTATCAAAATCCAATTACCTCTAAAATGTTTAAAATGGATTAGTTCGAGAAAATACTATACATTTTTATTATTCTTTGATCATTTTTTTGATTATTAAAAATCATATAATATAAACTTAAATTACAAGGCGAAAGAAGTAATCGTAACCACAAAAAAAATGATAATACTTATTATCTTACTTAGATTTTTATGTTTAAGTTGCAAAATTAATTTTAAGAAGAATTAGAAAGATAGTTTCATGGAAATAATACATTATGTTAGAATTTCTTGCTTGATTAAAATAGAGCATTTGAATTGAAACTTGTTTGTTTAAAGACATATTTGTGTAACTGTAAGGACAATGAAAAATAAAAATAATTATTATTAGAAGATTTTTTATGTACTTTGTTAGAATTATTTTTTGTAAGAAAGAATTATGAAATGATTTTAAATAATACATTAATAGTGATAGAATTTCTTGCTATTATACAATGACTTAATAATCACTTTTTTAGATGAAAGTTTTAATAATGTGATTATAAAAATAAACCTTGAATTGAGTTTTTGTTACCTGTATAAATGTATAAATCAATTTAGGTATTCAAATTAAACGTTAATATATGTTTAATTTGGAACATTGTATATTGTATT